GTAAAGAAGCATGGAACCCAGACACCAGGAAGGTGAGGTCTTCGACACGGAGAAGGAGAAATATGAGATAACAGAGCAGCGCAAGGGTGATCAGAAAGCTGTGGATTCACAAATATTGCCGAATCAAGGCTGTGCCTCAGCTCCAGGGATACCTGCGATCTGTTTTCACTCTAATGAAAGGAGTTTACCCTCACAAACTGGTGTTCTGATTTTGGAGGAGAAGCTCATTAAATAACGAACAACAACAAAGCCTGGGAGGTACTCAAAGGTAGCTCTAATTCACAAAGGGACATGGCTAGCCTATTGATGTTGTGAGACAATGCTAGACAGAATACTGAGCTTTGCAACTGTACCTTACAGTGGCAGATGACAGGAAACTTTTCTGAGAGGAGTTGTCTCCAGACTTCCAATTCTGTGGCTGGTGGGGTGCTGTGGTGTAGTAGGTTAAGCCTCTGTCTGTGATGCTGGCATCCCAAATGGTGCCAGTTTGTGCCCTGGCTGCTCCTCCTCTGATCCAGCTCTCTGCTTATGGCCAGAGAAAGCAGTGGAGGATGGCCCAAGTGTCTGGGCCCTTGCACCCACATGGGAGACCCGGAAGAAGTTCTTGGCTCCTGGCTTTGGATAGGTCCAACTCCAGCCATTGTGGCCATTTGAGGAGTGAACCAGGGGATGGAATACCTTTCTCTCTGTCTGTCTATCTGTCTGTCTCTCTCTCTAACTACACCCCTAAAATAAATAAGTAAAATCTCTTTTAAAAAAACAGACTTCTAATTCTATACCATTGATCTATGTTTTCCCTAATGCCAGTACCATACCAAGATCATTGTAGTTTTGTAGTAAGTTTTGAAACTAAGAAGTGTGGGTCCTCCAACTTTATTCCTCTTTATCAAGATTAATTTGGCTATTCTGAATCCCTTCCATACACATGTGAATTTTGGAATGAGCTTGCCAATTTCTACAAATAAGAGCACAAGTCTTTATTTTTAATTTATTTTTTATTTGAAATCAGAGAGACAGAGACAGAGAGAGCTGTCATATATTGGTTCACTCCCCCAAATGCCCACAGTAGCCAGGACTAGGGCAGGTCATAGTTGGGATTCAATAAAGGAAATCAATAAAGATCTTCCACATGGGTAGCAGAGACCCAGATATTTGAGTCATTATCTGCTGCTTCCAAGGGTCTCCAGAGATTGGGGGCTGGAATTAAGATCTGGAGCTAGGAATCAAACCCAAGCACTTGATTATGGAATATGAGTGTCTCTACTTCTAGGTCAAATGCCCATCCCAACAGCAAGGATTTTGAGGGGAATTCTGTTGAATCTGTAGTCCAATTTAGGGAATATTGTCATTTTAATAATTTAATTTCCCCAACTCATGAATAATGGATGTCTATTATTTATTTAGATATTCTTTTTTCGTGCATTCCTTGTCTTCCAAATAGAAGTTTCTTATTTTTCTTGCTAAATTTAGCCCTAATTGCAAACTATTTTTATTAAAGAAAGATTTTAGGATTCAGTGTTCAGCTGATTATTTGTTACCCCCCGAACAACAATCCAATCTCAGTATCTTGATGTAGGAATTTGAGAAGCAATTAAACCACTAGTAACATATTTAATCCTCCCTGAAACCCATGAATGATGCTTCACAGATCTGATATGGTGACAAAAGCCTGACTTTTTTATTTTTGACAGGCAGAGTTAGACAGTGAGAGAGAGAGAGAGTTAGAGAGAAAGGTCTTCCTTTTTCTGTTGGTTCACCCCTCAAATGGCCATCATGGCTGGTGCACTGTGCCAATCCAAAGCCAGGAGCCACGTGCTTCCTCCTGGTCTCCCATGCGGGTGCAGGGCCCAAGCACTTGGGCCATCCTCCACTGCCCTCCCAGGCCACAGCTCCACAGAGGAGCAATCAGGACAGAATCTGGCACCCCAACAGGGACTAGAACCTGGGGTGCCGGCGCCACAGGCAGAGGATTAGCCTAGTGAACCACGGCACCGGCCCAAAAGCCTGACTTTTGATGTTCAATATTTCTCCCAGTCTTAACTCTACGACCTTTAGTTAGCTATTTAATTTCTAACCCTTAATTTTCCCTTCAGCAAAATAGTAGCAGCTAATCCTATCAGCTAAAACTTTTAGGCACTGTTCTGAGAATTTTATATATAGTAACTAATTTAATTCATGATAAATCAATGGTAGTAGATACTTTATGCACATTTCATAGGTGAGGAACTCACTTCTAGATGGCTAAGTGATTTGTGCAGCACATGATAAATGCAGATTGAAGCAATTTGACCTTGCAGGTCATACAGTTAACCACAATAGTATATTAATTCTTTACTCACAAGTAGCAATGAAAATTAAATAAGGAAGAAAAAAGCATAATGTCTTTGACAAAATGTAGACAACATAAAAAAGTAGTTCTTTGTTAAATAGCATTTTATCACATTTCAATGGAAGACTATTGACCTTTTCACGGAATAAAAATGCTTTACATGAATATGTTATTATTATTTTTATGAAGATAATGTATACAGAGGAGCATTAACCATGAAACTAATGAAATTCAGGCTTCAAATCTCCTCACTTGAACCAGTCTTTCAAATTCCTGTAACTAATTTATAAACTTGAAATCTTTAAAAAGAAATTCTCTCAAATGGTTGAAACTTTAGTTCCAACAAAGCTATATCTTTTCCTAAAAAGGGGGATTAAAGGATAGCCTAGAGATCTCCAGCTGAGAGGAGTGAAGGCAATGTTACCTATAACTGATAGAATGCTGGGAAGAGGGGAGGAGGAGAAAGAGACTTAGGAAAAGAAGTAAGTTCATTTTTAGATATGTTCAATTATGAGTGTGACAGGAACAGTCAGAGATGTCCTATCACAGAGATGCTTGGATAAAGATGCAAATACAGGTGCAATCAGCAAGGATGACTGTTGAAACCACAGGGATAGATTTTGTGCCTTCAGGAATATCTGTAGTTTTATCCCATAGTTCCTACCCAGGGGCAGATCAACCAACAGATGCTTGGGGATGCAACTGGCATCTAGTTGGAGGAGTCCAGGGATGTTGTTAAACATCCTACAGTGAACACAACAGTTCCCCATCACAAAGAATTGTCCAAAATGTCAATAGTCCTGAAGTTGGGGAAATCTATGCCAGTTTGGACCATGGAGGAAACCAAAGAGAAAGAGTTGGGAAAGACTGGGAATTCTACAGGCAGTGTCAGAGTGCATTCTTTAGGGACCGTGCAGGAATACAGGAAGTATGAAATGCCTCTTTTTCCCACTTTCAAGTCATCCCAAGAGGGCATCACACTGTCCTTTCAATGGTACCCACCATTTTCCCTCTGCAACAGCTTTCTCAGGGTGATGATTCTCAGATGAACTAACACAAGTTAATTATGTCCAGGATAATAAGGGTGTGTGAATAGCATACAGATGCTCAACATCTGCTAACCCCAAATTGAAAACCTCTTCAAGTTAAAGCCTTTTCATGGACCCTGGAAGAGTCGCTGACATATAGAGTCCCAAATGTCTACTCTGCAACTTTTGTTCTGCATCTAGTGTTAGGGTGTGCCTGGATTGGTTTCATACCATGAACTTATGGTTTATATTAATTGCTTAGTTAAGGAGAAACTGAAAATAAATTCTGCTGTGACAATAGTCACAGATAACATCAGTAACTGTCCATGTGAATTTTGTGAATGGCTTAGTTCTGAAGAAAGATACATATACTCACACACACAAAAAATCCTATATCCAAATAATAATTTTTGTGTATCCTTGAACAGTTCCTTTAAATTTCTCCACAGTGGTCTTCAGGAAGCCCAAGAATATATGTGTGGAGTGGGAGGGGGAAGAGGTGGCATGGCAGGGATGTGATTCTGACATGTTCTCCCTTTCTTTGTATTCTCAGTCACGATCATACGTTACACTCCATATAACCCTTCTCTCTTCTCTATAATGCTCCAACTGGTTTGTTAATATTTGCCCTATATATTTGATTCATACTATTGTTTTTCTCCTGCAATCTTTGATATTTTCAATCATATTTCTGGTCCCCACTGTATGATGTATGTATCTAGTTGTCCTTGTTCATTTGTTTTGCTTTTCCCCAGAATCTATTACCTGTTCTTCTGATTTTCTTTGGTTTTCTTGATTTTCTTTGGGAAAGTCACCCACTCAATTCCCATGTATTGGGTAGGCAGTCCATTTTTCACACTCTAGAAATACACATTGGAGCTAGGCCTGGCCACGTGTGTATTACATTCCCCTGGCCATGATATTTTATACATAGATGGCCATGTAGCCCAGGTTAACCCAGAAAGATTCAATCTCAAGGCATTTTCTAAACTTTTGAGCTGCTTTATTTCTGTTCAGTTTATTCAGCTATGAGAGTTTTTGTCTGAGTAAGTCAGCAGCCATTTTTCTAGGGAGAGTTTCCTGGGGTATGAGCTGAAAAGCAGAACAAATCCACAAGATGGAGGGAAGGAGAAGAGAAAGAGAAGAGGAAGTGATACAGAAAAGAAAAAGAATTATAGAAAAAGAAACAAAGTTCAGCAGAATCCTGATATGGTATCACTTGAGCTGTAGGATCCAGCTGGATCAGAAGGTCTCTCTCCATATCATTTATTAATTAAACAAATGGTAGATTATCTACCAATTACATAAAATATCAACACAACAAATGTCTTATTTAATAAGTAATCCTACAGACACTGGAAACAGACATGAAAAGATAGAAACTACTCTCACAGAGTTGTCTAGTTGGAAGGTAAATTTTAAACATGAGAACAGAAGAGTATTCAGTGCTAAGGAAGATGCATAAGGTGCCACGAGTTCACAAAGCTTGAGAACTTTACCTGGATCAAAAGTCAGGGAAGAGCCTTTCAACTGAAACTCCAAGAACACTGATTTTCCCAATTTGCTTAGCTTGTGTATTAGTTACCTTTGCTACATAATAATGACTTGGCAATTGCAAACAGCGAATTTTTTTTTTATCTCACCGTTATTACAGGTCAAAAATCCAGGAGGAGCTTAGCTGGGTAATTCAGGCTTTGTCTTTTGTAAGACAACAGTGAAGGTGTCACGTCAGCTGGGATGCAGTCATCTCAAGGCTTGAATGAAAAAGAATGGACTTCTCAGTACCTTCAAAAATTGTCTTTTTTGACTAAAATTTATTTATTGTTTGTTTGAAGATTGGTTGTTTGGTGTGAAAGGCAAAGAGGCAGAGATATATACACACAGAGGTCTTCCATCAGCTAAATCCCTACCCAGATGTCTACATTACCTGGAAGTGTGCCAGGCCAAAGAATCTGGAACTCATTCCAGGTCTCCTCCAGTTCCTTGAGCCTTTACCTGCTGACTCCCAGTGTGCCCATTAGCAAGAAGTTGAGATTGGAAACTAGATTCAAACCTAGTGACTTAACTGTGGGATGTGGGCATCCCGAGTTAAGTCTTACCCATGGTTCCAAATGCCTACCCCAGAAGATTGGCTTCTAAGCTGACTTATCTGAGCTGCTCCACAGAACTGCCTCACAACACAGCATCAGGCTTCCCCTAGGGTGAGCAATCCAAAAGGAAATGACAGACTGTCCCCAAGAGTGAAGCTTCTGTCTTTTTTTATAATCCAAGCTTTGAAGTAACATATCTTCACTTCTTCCCTATTCTGTTCATTAGAAGCAAGTCATCAAATCATGCTTACATTCAGGGAGAAGAGAATACACAAAAACATGAGTATCAAGATTCAGGGTTCATTGGAGACCATCTTAAAGGCCTCCTACTGTTGGAATTCTCTTAAAAGCAGATCTTGAGACAAGAATTTACATGCAAGCAGCTAATAAAGAAATTAATCCTGAGGAGAGATTTAAGATGGCTACATAGGGAAAAATTGCTTATTTTTGACTACAAAAGAAAAGCAGAGGAATTGCCTTCCCAGGGGAGAGTTGGAGAGAAGTTTGCCATGGAAATTCTACAGGAAGAAGAGATACACCTTGGAGAAGCATGGACAGTACAAATACACAGCAGGGACCCAGGACACCACCAGACTCCCATAGCTTGGGGTTGTTAGAGATAGCATCTTCTTGGATCAAGTTAAGAGGAAACTGTGCCAGTTTGTGACACTGGTGATATTGCCTGATGGAGAACTATGCAGATCATACTGACTTTCAGACTGGCCAAGAGTACTAGCAAAGAGCAGGGTGCCCACAAAGCTAATGAAGGGAGAGCACATTTCTTTTTCCTCATCCTCCTACAAGGGTACCTGGTGACCAGTAGGGCAAAAGTACTGTCTTAATGTGAATAGAGACTATGTTAGCTCACTGAGGACTAGGATATTCTTGGAGAGGTAAATTCACTGCCACCACTGACTTTGAGTCTGGTAGGGGGCAGTGCATCCACTTAGAACTGTGGGGCTCTCCCCTCCACTCATTCTCACAGGCACCTAGACTCAAACTGCTAAGGTGGAGAACCAACATGCAGCTGACTGGGAATGCCTTGGCTCTCTGCATGGATGGTCAGGCTCACAGGGATGAGAGGGGATCCCCTGCTTCCTGTGACTGTGGAGCCCTGTTTACTATGACTTGGGTCTGTGACTTCATGATGGGGTATGGGGTGTTGTTGGGTCTCTGAACAATCACTGTGTCTGATTTCAGATACTCAGTTACCTGAGTGCCTCAGGTGAGTCATTGCAGAGTGTTTCATGCTCACACTGAGGACCACACAGATCCTTTGTGTAGTCCATGTGCCCTCATGGATGAGATGTATAGCAACTGTGGACTCACCCCAGGCATTGATCATTGGCAGAGAGCTGGTGAGGCTGGGATCATTGCCAGCCAATGTCATCATACCATTACTCCTGCTGACAATAGAGGAGACCTACCATGCCCATCTTGATTGTGACCCTGGACTCTCACTTCACCCTCAAACACTGAACAGAGCTCTCTGACCTCAACCAGAACACACCTTTGGATATTCACTGAAGGAGCAGGCATGCCACTAAGCCACAGAAGCATATTTCAAAGATAAAAGCCATCAGAGAAGGAAACCAACAAATGTTTCCACAAATTCCTAAAAATAAATATAGAAATATAAGAAACATGAACAATGGAGACAATATGACTCCCCAAAAGGGATGCAGGAACACTTCAATATTAGAATGAGAAAACAAAGAGACTAATAAAATGACTGAAAAGGAATTCAAAAGAATGATCATAATATTATTCAAAAACACAGAGAAGCAATACATGAGTTATAAAAATCCATACATGTCATGGACTAAGATTTTTTCTGAGAGATAGAGATTTGAAGAGAAATCAAACAGATATATTAGAAATGAAGAATTCAATATTTCAAATAAAAAATACAGAAGAAAGCTTTAACAACAGACTTGGTGAGGCAGAAGAAATAACATCTGAGTTAGAAGACAAACCTTTGGAAATATCTCAATTATATGAAAAAAAGAAGAAATTAGATAAACTGAAAATAGAATTTGAGACTTATGGGATACTATCAAACTACCCAACATAGGAATCTTAGGAGTTCCTGAAGGTGTGGAAAGAGAGACTGGATTGGAAGACTTATTCAGTGAAGTAACAGTAGAAGACTTCCATAATTGGGAGAAAGATGGGGATATCCAACTACAGGAAGCTTTTGTTTGTTTTTTAGTTTAAGTTTTTTTTTCCTTAAATGGTGAAATAATAAGCAATAGATGCTCCTGAAGATGACATTACAAAAGTTATATGATTAAATATGACATTGCCAGAGTGAATTCACTTTTATACTGTTCTTTCAGTGCTGCTAGGATTGGCTTTGGATAATACCTGCGTCTTCTATATTAAATTAATAGATGTACACATTTCTTCCATCTTTACATTCTAGGACTACCTTCACAAATGGGATTACATTAAACTAAGAAACTTCTGCACAGTAAAGGAGACATTCAACAAAGTGAAGAGGCTACAGACAGAATGAGAGAAAATAATTGCAAACTATGCAACTGATAAAGGGTTAATAAACAGAATCTATAAAGAGCTCAAGAAACTCAACAAAACAAATAATCCAGTTAAGAAATGGGTAAAGGACATGAACAGACGTTTTTTAAAGGATGAAATTTAAATGGCAAACAGATTCATGAAAAAAGGCTCAGGATCATTAGCAATCAGGGAAATGTAAATAAACACCAAAATGAGGTTTCACCTCACTCAAGTTAGAATGGATATCATCTAAAAATCAAAAAACAATAAATGCTGGTGAGGATATGAAAAAAAGGTACACTGTTAGTGTGAATGTAAACTCATACAACCGTTATGGAAGACAGCCTGGAGATTCCTAAGAAATCTGAAATTAGATCTGCCATAGTTTGCAACTCCTATGAATTTACTCAAATGTAATGAAACTAGCATATCAAAGAGTTATCGGTACCCCCTTATTTATTGCAGCTCCATTCATAGCTAAGATGTGGAATCAACATAGATGTCCATCAGTGGATGACTGGATAAAGAAAATGTGGCATATACCCACTATGGAATACTACTCAGATATTAAAAAAAGAATGAAATCCTGTCTTTCACAACAAAATGGATGCAAGAGGAAACCATTATGCTTAGTGAAGCAAGCCAGCCCTCAAAACACAAATATCGTATGTTTTCTATGATATGTTGCTATTAATCTAGAATATTAAAAAAGGAATGAAACAGACATCTTGTGATATGATTGTTGTTTTTAGCCCTTTTTATACTCCTGTGGAATTGTGATCTTCTTACTTTTTTACTTGTTGAATATTATTGTTAGTGATTAATTAAGCCTGGGATTATAAAGTGGTTTTAAATTATGTCTTTTCAAAAAATGAAGAAAAAAAAAACAAGCAGGAAGGAGAGGGATTGAAGGAGATTGAAGGGGAGGGAATGAAGTATGGTTATTTTCTTTGAACTGTACCTATGAAGTACCTGAAATATTTCTCTTTATAGTAATAAAAATTTAAAAAAGAAATTAATCCCCATAGTACAGGGAGGAAGATGTGAAGTTAAAAAGGAAAGGTAGCTGACCCATGTATGGTCTTTAATGGGTGTCTCTGAATTCCATCCTGCTGCATCCTCATGACTGTATGAAACATCATTCAGAATTGTCCAAGCAAAGAATATGGAAGCTGAACTATTTATTCACAATTTTCTGTCCTTCGTTGCTTTAGGGTTTACTGTAAAGATCTGTAAGTATATGGGAAAACACTATCAGTGTCTGCAAAAATTGTATTTTGGACTAGCCTTGTCCATGTGAGCTGGCTTTTGACACTTTCCCTTCTTTGTTCTCTACTCACATGGAACAGGATGGAATCTAGTTACCTATGAAATACCTATGAAATACAAACTATATTTAAATCATAAATATTCAGAATGCAGATCTCTCTAAATGTATATGTACATATACAGACACATACATACAAATCCGCATGGCTCATTTGAAGTTTAAAGGCACCCAAAATGTAATTCTAGCTCTTCTGAAATATCTACTTTACTGGGGAAGATAGGCAGATAGAAAGTAGACATTTCATGAAAGAGTCCAATGCTAGTAGACTATATCAAGTATCATGGAAGAAAAATGGAAAGGCTCTATGAATAAAAACATTATGTGCTGGATTTTGAACAGTAAAAAGATGTTAATTTTTAAATGTAAGCAACTATTTACATTCTGGAAGGTGCCAGATTCATGGTTGAATAAGAGTACCATGTGCCAGAAAGGTTAATGGTGAAGAAAGATGAAGTTGGGTCCAGACATGAGAAAACTTGAAATCCTCTGTGAGGATCAGATTTCACTGGCAATGAGGGATTGATTAAAGTGTTTGAGATTGTCCATTATGCTTGGTCATATACTGTAAAACAAACATATCACCTCTCAATGAGCATTCACACATTACATGTGGGGATAATGAACAGGGTAGAAAATAAGGCTTGTGAGAGTTAATAAAAGATTATGTTTGAAGTAAGTTGCTATTGCAATTATTATTACATATTATATAGTTTCATTTATAAATTCTTAAGCCTTCCATGTGCTCTAGGTCAGAGGGTGAAAACACTATTCTGTAAAGGATTAGACAGCTAATATTTTAGGTTTTTATGCCAAT